ACTTATTTTTGCAAACTATTGTAAATTTCTCATTTCTAAAGTAATATATTAAAAAAAATAAAAATATTTATTTATCTAACTAAACCATGAAATGTACTACATATACTAGCAATACTAAATTATCAAGTGATTTTGATGAACTAAATTAACTTTTGTTTATCCAAACATATATGCAAATCATCATGTGATTTTGAGCTAAAAATGACATAAAATCATAATAAAGTCCAACATATAAAGTTACACATGCATCTACATCGCAAAATGAGATAAGCTACTGATAAAACATAAGAGGATTAAGTTTGTTACCTCCAAAATCGAAGAGCAACACCAATGGAGGGGGAGAGAGCAAGAACAACAGCAAGCTGAAGAACAGAGGCAGTGAGTCTGAATGGAATGGCTCGGGCTCGAAAAGGAAGAAATGAGCTGGTCTATAGACCGGGATAATTAGTCCCAGTTAGGGGGCCAAACCGGGACTAAAGATTAATCTTTATTCTCGGGGCGTCACCCAAACCGGGACTAACCGGGACTAAAGGAACCTTTAGTCTCGAGGACAAAAAATGCAGAGGCTAATGTCAAATTGGGACATCGTTGTAAAGTATGTTCTCTAGTAGTGTACTCACTAGCAGTGTTTTACCTAGTTTGTTTTTGTGGGGAAGTGCTTTACCTAGTTTGGGCTTAGTTAATTCCTCTATATTACTCCTTCCATTTCAAATAATTATAGTTCACGTTAGCTTTGCGTGCCAAATTTCACTAATTTTTACCAATTTTTTAGAAAGACATTTCAATGTCTATAGGTTCAAATACAATAAATAGTATAATATCAAGAAATATTTTTTATGAAAAAAAATAATGAAACCAATTGATATTGTAGGCGTGTATTATGTACTCTTTTTGTATATACTTGACTTGATTATAATTTAAAACTGAGGTAGTAGTTTGGACTTCAGAATGATAGGGGTAACAAAGCCAACTAGACCACACGTACACAATCAAAACAACCTAGAAGCGAATTTGTTAGCCACTAGTCTTGTCATCACTATGAGAGTATTATAGCGACGAGGCACCAAATTTTGTTCATCACAAGATTGCACATATAGTACAAAAGAAACTGAAGAACATGGCCACACACATAAAAGAAATATGAGTCCAAGAACAAAGGCCTACTACAAAAGGCCATTTTTAAATGTAGGTAAATCGGGTTTTTTAGAGGCGATTGCTTTGCTTCTGTCCGAGCAAATGCCTTTGGAACTTGATAGTTTTCAGATGTGGCCAACCACCGCTAGAAATATATGTTAACCGTCTCTACAAATCATTTCAGAAAACACCTCTGGAAATGATTTCTAGAGGCGGTCATCTTATGCCAACCGTTTCTCAAATTCGATTTCTACAGGGATGGGCCGTGAGACTTCCTGCATACAACATAAGCAGGGACAAGTTATTGACTGCCATGGAAATAAAAGATGGCGTATCCCAAAATTGTTTTTAGTAGTGGCCATTGCAAAAATTTGTTGTCTCTTACTTGCCATCAATGTCTCGTGGATCATAGGGTCTACCACCTGTATCATTGACATTGTGAAATATAAGGGATTGATTATACCAAATTGTATTAGAAGGAAGTTAATTTATCCTAGAAAAGACATTATATGTGTTCATTAGGAGATTATTATAGTGTCTGAGCACCAAATTGTTTACTAAAAGAAAGAAGTATACATATAGTATGAACAAAGTGCATAAGTAAAGTATTTCCTGAGGCTGTCAAAAGCATTTCCAGAGGCGGATGACCCCTACCTCTATTTGTTGGTCTTTATTAAGCAAGCTTTTACAGAGGTGGTCACAATGTTTGTCCAGTATAAATAGATTAAAAAAACCAAAAAAGCTACAAGACCATCATCGATCCCGCTCTTGAACCCACCGTCGAACCCATGAAGCCCATCGATGTCGTTGCTGCCCCGTTACCGTTGTGGAGCCCACCCATGTCATTGCTTCCTTGGCACTATCGTGGAACCCACCCATGCCTACATGCCATTGCTGCCTTGCCAGCATCATGGAGCCCACCCGCACCAATGTGGATGTCGCCCTAGCCGTCACAGAGTTCACTCGCGCTATTGTGGAGGCCTCCCTCACCATCATGGATCTTCTCACACTATATTCAAACTGTGTGGAAGAGGGGAGAGTGAGGAGCATGGAGAGGCGAGTGAGCAAGAAGGAGAGAGATTAGGGGATCACCAGATGCGCTGCAGCCGTTGATAGGCACAAGATAGAGCGGCCAATGCTGCCACCCTAACCTTGCCATGGATCGCATGAGCCACGGATTTGACTGATCTAGGGGAAGGGGTACGGTGCTCGCCATAGATCTATCTGAGCTCGCCTCCTCCACCTTTAGGCCAATGCTGCCGCTAGAAAGGGCAAGAGCATGTGCAATTGCCGAAGTGGATGATGCCTAGGGGATAGTGTCGTCATCTAGCTAGATCCTCTCCAAGGAGGGCATTGGCGTCCAGGCGCTCTAGTGAGGTAGCGGAGGAGAGGCGATTGAGGGTAGGGGGAGCTAGGGCGGTGAAGTTGAGGCGGTGGGTGGCAGCTCATAGGGTGGGAGGCTACGAGCTCGTGTGAGAGAGGTGGAGCCTTTGGGACCTACCAAGACAAAAAAAAATCGGGGGCGGTGGATAAGGACTGGGGTTGTGATCACGAGAAGGGGGCCGGTGCTGGCTTATTAGGGTTTACTCGTTGTAAACTAGGCTTTTGTTTTTTTAAAAGTGGTAGGCCTTTTAAGAGGGCCACTTCTATAAATAGGTCATATTTACGGAGGTGGTTATCTTAAGAAGCTCGCCTCTGTAAATCAATTTACTGAAGGTGTGGTGTTTTTTTGGTTGTCTCCTTAAATGGGCTAGTTGCTTCTAAAATTTACTATTTTTTTGGAGACGTCAACACTTTTTGACCATTTCTGTTAATAAAAACACACGTCTTCTAAAATTATTTTGGTAGCAGTGAGCCCACCCACGAACAATAATAATCCCAGTAACAAATGTATGTAGAAGTAGTGTCCATCGCATTGGGGGAGAGGACAACAAACGTGACACATGCATAAGATTGTTTGTTGGGAGCGATGGCGTCGTAACAAGACACGCGTCAACGGGACGACAGGACAGATGTGAGGGACGAGACGTGTTTAACTTGTGGGCAGGGCTGATTAGGTTGTTGGTTAGTTTTTCTCGTTGGCGTTGGTGGCCTTTGGCCGGAGAAGAAGTCGTGCGCGCTCGTGAGTGGATTGGGGCGTGTAAGTGCACTCCCAATCCGTCCACTTTTGACTAGTTAAATGACAGTGACACGAGGCAGCTGATATTTGATGCATGATGATGCATCCTGTCACATGCACCATTTTCCGTCCCCCGCGTGCACGCGCATGCATGCATGGTTAACTGTGTTGGGATAATAGAGTATTTACCGATTACCATGCATGGTTAATGCACTGATGATGATGATGGCCTTGGTGGGCAACCACCAACTCCGATCCTAGCTTCCATGCAAGTGCACATGATCTGCACGGACACGTTTCCATTTATTTTTTTAAAAAAAAGCTAGATTGCTTGCTTGCTTGCTCCCGCACACTGACAAGTAACACAAGGTGATCTCTTTTCTGCCCTTCGAGAAAAGTCTTTTGAACCCATGCTTTAGTATTAGCTTGGTATATATGACAAGTGCAGTGTCGAAGCAGCTGGCACCCTAGCTAGCTAGCTAACGTCCATCATATCTGCCTTTTCCATGCACCACACAGACAGACACAGGAGAGAGAGAGAGAGAGCAAGCAAAGGTGGTTGATTGCTTAGAAACCAAGAACACCTCAAAGGCGATCGATGCCAAAACGCTAGCTCATGGTTTTCAATGGAGTGCTGGGGGTGAGAGCATGCTTTGCCGCCCTGGTGTGAAACCCGGCCGGGGTCGGGGGGCGGGCCCACCGCAAGGGTACAAATGCCTCGTGCCGTCATGCGCGGAAAAGTGGCCAAATTCCTACTCTCTCCCGTCACCAAAATATTCCTAAAAACAGTTGGTCACTGGCCTTTTCCACTTGCATCATTGTAGCTGGATGCTTGAGAGAGAGAGAGAGAGAGAGAGGAAGAGAATTTATCCATTTAGCGGTATTAGCTAGGTTTACTACACTGCAGCCTATGCATGCATAACACTCCTTCTTCTGAGAAAGAATTATTGAAACTTTCTCCCTTTTTTTATTCATTTATATATTTATATATATACTACTCCTAGTTCTTACCCATTTTAGCCTTTTTTTTTTTACTTCCAAACTAATCCACCACACACATCAGCATAATAGCCTGACTTTTTATATGCCTTGACTATTTAAAGGGTGGTCCATTTGGCTCAACTCTAGTAGTAGACCATAATCCTACCTGCACCTCATCATACAATACAAGTGATTAGTATTTTTTAATAGTAATGCAGTTATGCTGCTATATATAGAAAGGTCTATCATTTGTGTGTATTTCCATAAATAGAGTGACACGAGGCTTGAGAATTTTATTAGGCCTGGTTCGCCCACAGTCTAGTCTAGCCCAAAAAAGGCTCCAAAAGGCAGGTCCGCTCAAGTAGTTGGGTGGGAATGGGCAAGAAAAACAGGCCCAAAATAAATCAGGCCTAGTGTGAGCCCAACGCGAATTGAAATTTTTCATTTTTCGCTATTGTAAATATAGCAGCAATCCATTTTTTCCTTGTATCGTAACAAACCATGGGGTCAACCTACTCAATTACACTTTAGTATGAATCCAATATCCCCCTTAGAAAAAAATATAGCAATCAATAAATTATCTAAACAAGCAGCAAATAAATAAGTGCTATACACATTAGAGGAGCATAATTTAATGCATTAATAGGATTCCAAATTTGCTACCGCCCCCACCCCTATATAGAATAGAGTGGACAAGGAGGCGACGCCACACACAATTGAAACATAATAAGAGTAACACAAAGAAATCAAGAATCAGCTCTCCCTGATGGCACTTCTCAACAAGGATGCCAAGGCTCTATGCTTTGCAACCCTTATTGTCATGGCTATGGCATTCTCGTCTTGTGAAGCAAGAGGTAGTAATAATTTATATACAACCACACATATATGCATGTGTATTCTATTTTACACATAATAATGTGTTACATCAACTTAGCTATATAAAAGTTCCCACTCTAATGAAATGCAATACATCATATTTGCAGGTAGTATGTGCACCGATTTTTCTCCATGCGACGACATATTGTGTGGGGCGCATTGTGATGCTCTAGGGTACAAGAACCCTAACCCACACTGCCTTTATACCAAGATTGGCCATACGGGCGATAAATGTTGTTGTTAGGCTAAAACTTGGGCTTGTGCCCCTTGTCGAATTGATGTACCAGTTTCATCAAGATGGTGAAGTCAATATGTCTCACCAACTATGGATGTTGGTTGACTAAGAATAATAATAATTTGTGATGCTAAAATTTATGTTTTCAGTAGAGTAGAAATGCACTGGCTGAACTTTCGAGGTGTTTCTTTTATACATCCATCTAGGCACCGTTTGGATATTGGGAAATGTAGAGTGGGATATATAGGGAAACAAGGGGTGTGATAGATCTGATCCCATGTATGGATAATGGAAAATGAATAGGGATAGAAAAATAAAGAGTAGCATACCCATTCCATACCGCGTCCTGCTATCCCAATCCATTTTTCCCATTCCCTATCCCCATCCCAATAAAAGTGTTACCGGAGAACATATCCTAGGCCCCCAGCCTTTAGGTGCTCCCTGTGCTCCCATCTAGAAAAACCTATGAAACAGTGCTTTGAAAAATTCTTCCAAAAATGCCTAAGGAGAGATGATGTAAGGATCCATCTTCATGAAGATTTTGAGGATTAAAAAAAATCTTGTACATAGAGGAACAAAAAAAAAAGAGAAAATCAAGATGTAGTTGATGCGGGTTGCGGATCCAGGCAAACAATGCACCCGACCCAATCATTATATGATGATTATTATCTCCTTTTTGTTTCTACTTGTACAAGATTTTAACCATTCTAAAATTTTGCATGAACATAGGTCCTTATACATCATCTATCCATTATATGAGAAATTACAAATATTCTGGTTGAATGGTTTTTTTGATGCTTTTTTCCCAAAATTGTCAGGTTCCAGAGACGTACGCACGTAATGCACGTGAGCACAAGATATATATTCCCGGTCCATCCACTTGGAAAGTGTAGAGTATTTTTAATGTGTCCATTAAATTATTCATTGCGGGTGCAAAATCCTCCACGTGGGCTCCTAGTACTAAACATGACAAGGTTACTCTACTGTGCCTCGCGTGCCCCTCTCTCGAGGCGGAAGTTGGAAGCTCCCCTAAGCAGAACCAATCAAGGCCATTGCCTATAATTAATCATAAAAATTATATACGGAACTGATTCCACAGTGCGGTAGGATCGGAATTGGCTATTGGAGTTCCTTTCTATCAATCCAACCGCTGCCTTTTCTTTCCATAATATCATGAGTGAATGACCCTAGAAAAAACAAATGATTAAAGGAAAGTAGGAAATAAAGTACGGGTTTTTATTACATAAGACATGGATAATAGGTGGCATATAGTGATTATGAATCAGTTCTATACTAGTGTAATTCAAGAATAGGAAGGGTCAGCAAAAAACCATTTCTGTACTCCTCTCTACAAGGAAAACTCACCCCTTATGAATGCTTCCAAATTTTGACTAACGATAGTAAGGTTGATAATGCTTTACCAACGTAGATGGATAATAAGCTACATTACAAGGAGCATTAAGCATCAAAACAAACAAGTGTTTTTTATGTCTAAAACATTGTGTGGCTTCTGTTCTAAATTGAAAAATATTTTAACTTTTTAGGTACATTGTTTTTTACTATGTTTTTAGAGTTCTAGATATACGCCGTGTTTTTCATCACTACTTGGACAAACTATAGATTATAAGGAACTTTTCAATCGAATCGAACAATGCAATTTTTCCTCTCACAACATTTTTCAAAGATAAGCTAAATTTCAAATAAAACGAGCAGGCCATAGTGTACTCCTCGAGTTCTTGATGTCATAGAGATATCTTGGCAAAGATGTTGCCTTTAGAAAAATAAGTGCACTTCTATGATTTTGGTGAAGATAACAATATTAGTGAGAAATTACAAATATACCCCTAGAAAGATACAATCATTACACTTTGGAAAGAGAAAAAGTAGAAAAAGACAAATAAAGTTATGCTGTCTAATATAGTAGATATGTATTTATTTTGGGGAAAAATTGTACTCTAGAAATGCACTTATTATGAGACGGAGTAAGTATATCTAAATGCATAGCTTTAAGGTTTCTTTTTTCCAAAACTTGTCATATGGTTTCCAGATCACGAAATGGACCTGAACTTTGTTTTTTTATTATTTATTTATTTGTTTTTGCCAAATGTGCGTTTTCGTCTTTGCACAAGCACAACAAAACGTCAAAACCAGCGGGGGCAAAAGGGGAAGGAAAAATAAAAAGATAAAAATGGCGGTGCTTCTCCGCCGCGCCGCGGCCGCCGCAGCGGCGGTCCTCGTCGTCGCGGCCGTCTGCGCGGACGGCGCCTCCACGTTCTACTCCTCCGACCCCAACCTCGGATCCGCGCGCGTTGTCTTCCAGGTCACCCGCCATCTCCTCTACTCCCCTTGCTATTCCAACTGCGACTGGTAGATTCGCCCAACCCCGATGTCTATTGCTCCGAAATTCGTTCGAAAGGAGCGATCTTTGGTAGCCTTTGGAGGTAGGAAACGGCCCCAAGGACATCAAATTCGCTAGGTGTTTGAGAGCTGTGGGAGGATCTGGGAGATAATTAGTGTGATTTGAGAGCTGTGGGAGGAGGATCTGGGAGAGAATCAGTGTGAGTCGGTTACGCTGGGCTTGCTCTTGCGAGATTTCGTTCGAGAGTCGGTTCAAAACCACAGCAATGTGGAAGGAGATGGCTGCTGAGTTGCATTTAAGAGCTGCTGGATGAGGAATTAGAGTGCCTGGAGCCCTGGACAGGAATCTGGATTGCAGTGCTCAACTTGCTGTTGCTTTACTGGTCGGAAGATTTGTATGCTAGGAATGCACAACTAGCGGATAAGAGTGCTAAACTGGCAAACCTGGCTGTAATTCCATTGCATGGCGGTGTCAAGATTCTTCCAAGAACACTGATACCATGTTGCATATTCTTCTCTTCAGACATATGATTTCCTTGGTTACTCCTAATCTCCCATTAGGTAGATGGTGTCTTCTGTTCTCCACACGATTCACTCAAGCTGCCAGCCTGGTTTACTTATCGGTTCTGGTACTTTGGGTATCACCTTGCAATTTGCATCACTCCATCCCCAAAATTACATCAGTTGAATATTTACTAATAAAACTGTAGCATTTACATGATTTGTATACGACTTCACAAATGCTTATTATCAGCTCGGAACTGATTCAGTCATTCCCAGTGTTTTTAAGGCGACGCCTAGGCGTCCAGGCGTACCCAGCTCGCCTTGGGAAAGCTTGCATGAAGGTGTAGGGGGCCAATTCAAAGGCGCTACAATATTACCAATAGTAGGGGCCTCTGTGGAAAATCTTTGTTTTTTCAAGTTCTATCTATATATAGGCAATTGAAATTCTATCTAAGAAGAATGCGATTTACATACTTGTAAGTTGTGATCCACTAATCGCCTGGACGCCATAATGCAGCGACATGCAAACCTTTAAAACTATGGTCATTCCGAAGTGGCATATCTGGCCAGTTACCGCCTTTTAAAACTGGGACTCAGTGGCAATCTGGCCAGTTAGGGGACTCAGAATTTACAGCGCTACTAATTACCATTTTTACCTTTCTGCAGTATTTCTTCCTGTTCTGATCAGTGCATCTGATTACTTCTGTTGTAATTTTACCTGCAGACGAATTATGGTGATATTGAGTTTGACTTCTTTCCTCATGTTGCACCTAAGACTGTCGAACACATTTTCAAACTTGTGCGGCTTAGGTGCTACAACACAAATCACTTCTTCCGGGTATTCATCAGTTCTAGTCACTTTTATTTACTACCTGTAAACACAAATCTCTAGTTTTGTGTGAGCTACCTTATCAATTAACAACGCAATGTATTTCTGCCTTTTCTAGGTTGACAAGGGTTTTGTTGCACAAGTTGCTGATGTTATGTCAGGTCGAACTGCCCCTATGAATGCAGAGCAGAAAAGAGAAGCAGAGAAAACAATTGTTGGTGAATTTAGTAGTGTCAAGCATTTCAGGGGAATCCTCTCCATGGGAAGGTGCTCTCTGTTTATAACTTCAGCAGACCACTGTCTTCTAACATATCACCTTTAAGGGCCTAAAATAGATGAGCATGTAGTATTTTTCTACGCACTTGAAAACTTCAACTATGGTTATTAAGTTGTTTATTTATCTGGAAAAAAGATTAAGATCACTACTTTCCATACTTCTATTTGTAGTTGTACATATCCAGAGGAATGCAATGTATGTTGAAATAACAAAGCTCTGGAAAACATTTTTTTTAGTTTCCTTTGCATGTAAGGTAATAGTTCTCTCATACATGTAAATATTTTCATTCCTTCCACAAGGCACTCTGATCCAGACAGCGCTGGCTCTTCCTTTTCTATCCTTCTGGGCGATTCACCGCACCTTGATGGCCAGGTGTTTAACACTACATCAAAGCCTTTTATGATCAATATCATCTATGTCACTGATTGAGATTGGCACATAACAAATTTCAGTATGCTGTATTCGGGAGGGTCACTAAAGGTGACGATACATTGAGTAAACTAGTGAGGCTTCCAACCCGGAGAGAGGGCATTTTTGTAATGGTATGTATCCACCTGCAAGACAGTTCTTTTATGCGTTTAGCTCTTTTAGTGAATTTTCTTCTGTGTTCTTTGGTTATTGGTATGATTGTTTAGATATCTGCAAATATCTGGGGAAAACCTGTTAAAATGATGACTTTTGTTTTCTTATTGCATTTAAGTGTTCATTTGAATAGAGTTTTCCAGTCTGTTTTGATACAGATTGCCTGTCAATGTCATTGACAATGCATAATTGAAAATATTTGACTTCATCCACAATCTGTTGATTGTATTTTAGGGTGTGCTGGACAAATGAAGCTCTAATGTTCTGTACTATGTTTTCTTCTTTCTTTTGTCAACCGATCGAGCGTATCGACATCCTATCAAGTATCAACTTACTATTATGGTAAAGACCAAACCTGTCCTCCTTTTTCATGGTGTTTTGAAAGACCTTTGTAATGCAAATATACAAAACACAGCATTATATATCCCATAGGGTTTGAAGCAGGAACAGCTCTCAATGGTTTTTATCTGTGCAGATATTGATGTAGAGAGCTGTGAAGCAGAAAAATCTATTCTTCGGAGGAGACTTTCTGAATCAGCATCAGAAGTTGAGCGATGGGTGAGAATCTTACTTACAAATAAAAAAATGGGCGTACCCAGTGCATAGAGCTCCCACTATGTGCGGGGTCTGGGGAAGGGTGCCAGTGGCAAGCTTTACCCTCGCCTGTGCAATGCGAGGAGACCGCGACTCGAACCCGGGACCTTCCGGTCACAGGCGGTAAGACTCTACCGCTTGCACCAGGCCCGCCCTTCGAGAATCTTACTTACAAATGTTGAAGACAATTCATCCATATGCATGCCTGTTCAGAAAAATATTCCAAGTGGTCAACTGATGTCATTTGGTTTATTTTTATTTTCGCAGAGAAGAAAATGCTTTGCTTAATGCTGGAGTAAGGTGAATGACTTGCTTATTGTTTCCAATATTTGTATAAATTTTTCAGGGCAGCAACTTGCTATATATGCATTACAAAAGCAAGGTTAAAAATTATGTGCACATGATACTAAAATGCTTAGATGGATTAGTGAAGTGACCCTATATTATTGCTAGTATAACAACAACGAGCAATCTTCCATGGAATTACCAAATTCGAAAATCCCCTTCTGTTTTAGTTGACTTGTACAGTCCACATAGTTAAAGGCATGCATCTGTTCTATTGCCATGCTTACAAGCATACAAGTGAACTGGTAATTTGATCCTTGTGCATATCTAGTGCTTGATCGTTTTTTAATGAGACTAGGCGTGCTAGGTGCCACCACCTAGTTAAGTGGCCCAAACTATGAGTTCGGAAATGAGATGGCTGTGGATGATTGGTTGCTGGATGATTCCTCAATGCGTGGTTGTGAGATGTATGAGGGCGAGGACCTGGGCCACAAGGTCAAGGCTTGGGCGCCAGCAATGGCACAGAGGCTAGGTAGGAGAGCACAGCAGGGAATTGGGGAACTATATTCAATCTATTGCTTGAGGTTTCCCAAATACATGTGGCCTAATATGTAAAGCCAAGTTACAAATGCTTCCTCAATACAAACTCAACTGAATTCTAATCCAATATATTAATATCTCTAGCTACCAAACCGACTAACTTATCTCCTAAACAAAAGCACCTATGACTCTTAACTCCTGGAGTAATCAGCCACGTGCATGTGCTGCATCCTGATCCTGGACGGCCTCAGTGTGCTTCCTATCTTACGTTCTGCCATACATGACAGGAAATGTGACCACAGGGTAATTACTTTTTGCTGTTTGGGCAACAATTAAATTTGACCAAAACTGCATGAAATGTCTTGTTAGTGATTGATGGTTGCTTCCATTAGTGGCCACTTGACCCTGATTGAAGTGAAGCAAACTCATTTGTCATATTCTTGAATTGCATCCGAGGTGTGCTATGTTCTTCAAATTTTGGAAGGTTTTCATCAGTGTAATTAATGTAATTCATTTCAAATACCTTACTCCCAGAAAGTCAGCATGTGCAGTCTGTTTCTCTTCCAGGATATGATCCTCTAAATTGCAGTAGGTCAGGAGCTCAAATGGTTCCATGTGAGACAAAAATCGTATCTTATGAATCAAAACTGAAACAATTACTGATTGACTCAAGTTTTAGAGACATCAATCTTTGAAATTTTTGACACAGACGACTTGCCCATGTAAACTGTATTTTCTCCATAATGCATGCAGGAGCAGGACTACAGGTTCCATATGGGGCTGGATGGCTGGAGCGGAATATGGACAGTGTGAAAAGGAACCCTTGAATGTGTATGCTAGGTGCTTTTATACTAGCAAAGTGTTACATGACTCGATGCTATCGCTGTGATACTGAAGTGGATGGGTCCTAGGTTTCATGTGGATCTTGTTTGTTACACATGAGCAGAGTTGTTATATACCGGTTACAATAAACCTTGAATTCGTTTTCCTTTTTTTTTTATAAACAATGTATGTATATTAATTACTGGCACATACACTTATGTAACATCTCAGGGAAACAAAAAGAATTACTAGTGCATGAATAGCTTCGGTGACTATTGGTGATGCACTGTCTGAAGATTGTCTGAAAGACTGAAACTGCGGTGGAACTCTCATGTTGTGAGTTTATTCTGCACTGCTATTTCCTGATATTATATCCAGTATGTTCGCTTGTTGGTTTGAGTCAGGGCTTATCAGTTATGATGCAGTGTTTTCCTCTCATAATAAACCAGCACCAGTCAGGCTTATCAGTCAAGAAACCAACCAGCGTGCTGTGCTTGCCTCCTCGATCACTTGTCTACAGCATTGATAGTACCTTGTCGTCTTCCTTTCATGTGAGTGAGTAGTGGTGCTAACACAGCTGAAAACAACTTCAGGCAGCATGTCGCTCCATGTCAGGCAGCGACGACCATCTCTCTCTTGCATTGCATTGAAAAGTATGAAACCATGGGAGGACCTTGAGTTGCTCGTGCCCAGCTGCATGCCCACGGTTTCAAGGAAAAGCTGTTGCGTGTGTGGCCGTTTACCATATCTGCTTTGATAACTATGCTAGTTATAAATTCAAAAAAAAAATGCTAGTTATCTAAAATACAGTGTGTGTGTGTGTGTATGGTTTGAGAAAACATAATAAGCACTATATTAGTCGACTGATACACTCCCTTTTTTTTTGTAAGGCTGATACACTCCTTATTAGAACATTGCATGCATATTTTGGATAAATAAGTTGTTATTGCTTTTTTAAACCCACAATGCATGGGTAACAAAAACCACATCGGGTTACAAAGCCTTAATTTAAAGGAGAAGAAATTTTTATTTGTTTAAAAAAACTAAGTCATTCCTGCGTATTGATAGCTGTTTTCCACTGTAGTGGATGACGAAAACTGTTGGCCGTTGGCACATGCAGGCACGCGCGCGTCCAATCATGCTCATGCATGCATGCACCTAGCACCCCCCAGTGCATATATGCATACATCCACGTGCACACGTTTCGGCAGTGAGCTATACAAAACTATAATTTTTTTTTGAAGATTTGAACAAATATTAAACTTAAAAAGTCCAGCGAATTTTGTAAAGACTAATGACATATATATAGATGCAGAAAATTGAACTAAGGTGTACGCTTGTATTTTCTCTAAATTATTGAATCCGTAAATAATCCACACGTATTAGAGTAAAATCCAGGAGGTGAGAACGTACCTTAGGACAATAATATCTCCAACAAGAAACATGGTGCCAATGCACTCCATGAGAAGTCAAACGTGTATTAAAGTTTAATTCAATATATAAAAATGTTAATATTTATGATACATAATTAGTATTATTAGATAGATCGTTGAATTTATTTTCATAATAAACTTATTTAGAAATACAAATATCACTAATATTCTTTATAAACTTAGTCAAACGTTAAAAAGTTTGAGCAGCACGAATACTATAACAACACTTAACAGAGAGAGTACGTATAAAACCCTACACTCATGTATGACTATATAATATATATAGCTAATAAGGTAGATATAGAGAGTGCGCAGCGCAGTATACGCACATGTACACATTAATCACACTAATATATATATAGGTACGATACGCTAAGCCAATGCACACTCCAAGTCCGACTACTTTGCAGTGCACTGCTAGCTAGCTAGCTAGCTACACACTACAGTCTACACTTGACACACGATCGATCGAGCATATGTCGTCCAGGTCCAACCGGCGGGGGAGGAGGAGGTCGCCGCTGTCACCGGCGCCAGGCACCGACGACGCCGCACCGGCCGAGCAGCAAGTGGCGGCGGCCGACGAGCACGAGCTCGTCTCGAGGCTGCGAGCGCTCCTCCCTCCCGATCAGGCGGCCGCGGCCGCCAATGGCAAAGCCAAAGCGTCGTCGACGAGGGCTCGGGTGCTGCGGGAGGCCTGCGTCTACATCCGGAGGCTCCACGCCGAGGTCGACGCCGCCGCCGAGCGGCTCGCGCGGTTGCTGGAGGACGACGACGACCCGTCGGTCGCCGCCGCCGTCGTCGTCGACGGCGCCGACGACGATGCGGCTGATGATGAAGTCACCATCCGCAACCTGCTGATGTGAAGCTAGCTACCTAGCCGTTCGATCGTTTCTGCACGTACGCGCGACTATACTCCTTTATGGATAGATGATCAGGCTTATGTAGCTCAATTATGTTAATTAATTCTGTGATCTCTGTATCAGTTTTTTTTTTTTTTGGAAACCTGACCTGTGTATCAGTTTGGTTACGTACGTGTAAAACTTGTAGTAATAAAGTGCGTGACCGAGTACCGGTTGTTCTATACTCCTGCATGTGTGGATTTACCAGTGTAGTGTGCGTATTTATTTTCTTTTATTTATGATGACGGATTTCTTTGAAAGCTTGTGGAGCACAATCAGATTCTTTTTTTAGAAACAGCACAATCAGATTCTTGATCAGCAGTGGGCCGCGAGCGTCGCGTCGTCACATTGGGCTGACATTGGAAGGCCGGCCCACGAGAGGACGAGCGCGGGTCGCCTGGGGAGCTGTGGTCGCTGGATAGCCAATTGTGTTTTTTTTTATTAGGCTGGATAGGCAAAGGTTAAGTACCAAAAAAAAAAAAATGGTACCATACCGCCTAAGGTAAACAAGGGAATACCAAGTTAGAGCATCTCCAAGAGTTTGTCAAATTTTACTTGGCAAATCTTGTGATTTGCTAACTCACAAAATTATATGCCAAGTAAAAAAACAATCTATCTCCAAGAGTTTGGCATTTTTGACTTGGTAAAATAAAAAAAACCCATTAACAAAACGAAGAGGCCCGCTAAGCGAACGAAGAGCCCCGCTAAGAAACGAAGAGCCCCGGATGCCAAGCCATATACGCGCGCGTATATTTGCGCACGCGGAGGGAAGATTTGTCAAGTTGCTATTGATGCCAAGTTGTTTTGCCAAACTGTTGGAGGCTATTTTTTCTTGTTTTGTCAAAATTATATGGATGCCAAGTTGAGATAGCAAACTCTTGGAGATGCTCTTATAATCCCAAGCGACAGCGCGTCTCTTTGGAGACATCCGATAAAATTAGAATGATATGTAGAAGAATTTGCGTGACATGCACAAATCGAGAAAAGGTCAATTTTTTTCTTTTGAGATTTTGCGTGTCAACCCTCGGCTTACCTTGCTTCTTCTGAGTTAGTTTAAGATTTTGCGCGGTAGCTTTTCCTTTTACACCTCTGTTTCTCTTTTGAGATTTTGCGCGTCAACCCCTGACTTACCCTGCTTCTCTGATTTAGTTTGAGATTTTACGCAGTAGCTTTCCTTTTACACCTCTGTTTCTCTGAGTTACTTTGAGATTTTGCGCGTCGATCCCTGACTTTCTCACATCCATGCTCCTAGTGCAACTTTCCTTTTACAACCCTGCTTCTCTAAGTTAGTTTGAGATTTTGCGCGTCCATCCCTAGCTTTCTCACATCAATGCTCCTAGTGTGGCTTTCCTTTTACACCCCTACTTCTCTAAGTTAGTTTGAGATTTTGCGCGCCGGTCCTTGACTTTCTCACATCCATGCCCCCTGACGGCTTTCCTTTTACACCTCTGCTTCTCTAAGTTAGTTTGAGATTTTGCACGTCCATCCCTAACTTTCTCACATCAATGCTCCTGGTGGATTTCCTTTTACACCCCTGCTTCTCTGAGTTAGTTTGAGATTTTGCGCGTCGGTCCCTGACTTTCTCACACCTATGCCTCTGACGGTTTTCGTTTTTACACCTCTGATTATCTAAATTAGTCGGCTTTCTCACAACCACACTATGCTTCTCTGAGTTAGTTTTATACGGGTCCTTCTTGAGCCTGATAGTCTACTTTCACTTTTCTCCTAATTTTTTTCCTCTTTTGCAGTTATGCCCTTCGATAATATGTCCCTGAAATGTTTTTTTTTCCTTATGTGCCACTGCTGCTTTGCAACTGGCCGCTTCTCTTTCTGTTACTGCTCCTCTTTTATAAATATCTGGTTCTTGTTATGTGCATCCTTAAAATCATCTCGCACCAAACTTTTGCCCTTCAGCCCTTGGGATCCCGTCATTAAGTAAATCTTACGTTTTTCTTTCTTTTTATTGTTTCCTTCATCGGGTTCCCATATTTTTCCTACGATTGTACAATGAAGTTAGGTTGCGAATGATGACATTTTACACCCACTCGCACTTGATATTACAACGGCAAATTCACGAAGATGACATACGGATTATCAGCATCACTAATGAACTTACAGCACATATTTACACGACAAAAAAGAAAAAGAAACACGGGTACAAGAAATGTCTGTCAAAATCTCTCACAGATGACATGCATGTGCCAATTGTACCACCCACACGCATGGTATTGGTACGCCAAAAACCACAGCAAGGCAACAATGTCTGTACTACGCACAATGATCTTTAATTCCAGAAATTGCAAATATATGTGAGAGCCAGGTCGTCTTCGTTTCTTGAATTTGACATCTTCGTTCTTGGCAGTGCAGGTGCAGGGGGCCCACGTGTGTCATCACCATTGTCCACTCACACAACTAAACAGGTAGCCCTTGAACTTGCTCCTTCCCTGCCCATCCAATCCACAAGCAAAATGAAACGAAAATCAGCGAATTGAATAGAATTGTATGGAGTTGAAAATTGATTCAAGAACAATCACCACAATCAGCTCGGCTCCATGCACTGGAACCAGCTAACAAACTGAAGTTTATTTAAGTATAACCAAATGGAGAAAAATAGCAAGAATGTGGGAAGAGAGTGGGGGATAAGAGGGAAAGCTCATGGCAATGCCCAATGGTGCATGGAAGATAAGCTTATGACAGTTACGATATTTGTGTAACCATGCATGTGATTGGGAATTGGGATTTATATGTGTTGATGTTTGTGATCATCTGCAGTTTTTTTTTTCCTTGACCGTACCACGAGGCACGTATTTCATTAAGATAAAGTAAAGTCGTTAAAGTACAAAAGCTAGCGGAGTGATCATGTGCAGTTGGCATGAATGTAAAAAAAGAAGAAGATATTTTTGTACTAGTTGTTTGTCTGTTTGATCGAGTAGAACAAGAGGCGTCATCGGGAGTGTCGAATTTGATTGGCAAAATTGAACTCTCCAACTTTGTACTCATCTGCCACTGCAAATCTGCGTGAATTTTCCTAGCAAAGCAATTTTAGGTCCATCCAATGATCCAAAATTCCAAACAGTGCGTTTTGTCTGTGCACGACGATACTCTGATCGATCACAACACACAAGTTGACATACCACTATGCTTGCCGTGGAAATTAAATGTGGCGGCGGCGGCGTCAGCTCACCTTGGGAGCGGCGCGGCGAGGCTGGATCGGCAGGCGGTCGTCCACGCCATCGTCGTCGGCGCTACGCAGGCGGCGGAGCCGGTGGCGTTGACGTCGTTCACGGTCGTCGTCGTCCCCGTCGCTGGCCGACGCCGAGGACCACTGCCGCTTCTCCTCGTCGCCGCCGGGTGACGTCTCGACGGCGACGGCGGCGTTGCCGACGAAGCTGGACCAGGAGAGCGCCTTCCTGCGCTGTTGCATCCGCGCGGCGCGGATGTTGGTGAAGTCCAGCGAGTAGTCCGGCGCCGCCGCGCCGCCCTCCCACCCGCCAAACGCCGGCACCGAAGCCCGCGGCGGCCGCGCGCGCGCGGAGGTCGCGGTCGCGGCGGCCGGCCTCGCCCTCGCCTCCGTTAGCTTCGCCATTGATTGACGACTACGAGGCCAGAGGCAGACCGCAGAGCCAGAATGAATAAAGGTCGCTGCTTTTGTTCTCGTTGGAGATTCCGAGCGTGTCCGCGAGTAAATTTATATCGTCCGGCGGCCGGCGGTCGGCGGATTAACATTTAACAAGAGGCTTAGTTCTCAAGGTAGGAGAAAGGGAGGGAGGGAGGTTGTGACACTTGCTGCAGGCCACGTCGCCGGCGGCGCTGCTGGGCACAGCACAGCACAGCACAGCACAGCGTCATACACAGCGTTTGGAGGGCCGGGCCGGGCAAGCTGTCGCGGCGTTGGATGTTGCCTGTGCAGTGCTGATCGTGCAGAGGCTGGATAGCACTCTGTTTTCGTGTCACCAGGATGGAATGGGATTTTCCTTTCTTTTTTTTGCGGAAAAATGGCATGGGATTTTCAATAGACATGTTATGTAACACCCTAGGTGTTTGGCTTCCACAAAATTACATTTCATTTCATAAACATATGCATCATCTATGTCATCATGCCATTGTCACTGAAACATACATATGCAACATTCGTAAATTCTATTTGTTTCATACTGATTGCTTATGAATGGTAGTAGTGCAACATGTGAATGCAACATGAGTTTCTTATACCTTGAAACATGGCAACATGGTAGGAATGTGGCAAGTTAAAATTTCAACAAAAGTAATAAAACATGTGAAACATGGAATTGCAACATTTGAGTGAATTGATTGTTTTGTTGCTTCATCGCATGTGATCATTAGAAATTGGTATAGCACTTGTGTAAAGTGGTTGATTATGGTCTAATACACCTTAACTACACTTAGGGTAATTGATGGGACATTGTTCATGTGGAACAAAATGACTAAAATGCCCTCTAGTGGAGGTTTGACTTAGAATGACCCATAGTGTGACTCTGTTTGACTGATTAAAAAGACCAACCTAGAGACCTTGCATGGCTGTGCACCCTTTACCAAAGTTGTAGCCAATTTATCAAGGAACAAAAGTCTCAATATGACCATCTCATGAAACTGGCTAGAACATGCTCAAACAGGGCCCACAGGTCAGGTTTCCCTACTGATTTCAGACTTAGAAAAATTCTTCAGTCAAGTCCCGACTTACAGTTTCATGAGCCCCTCTTTGCGATCTTGTATCTCCCAATCCAGACCGAATTAGTCCAAGCCCCAATTGACAATGTTGTAGTACTACTGTAGATCTACAAATTTGCTGTTACTACCTACCGCTAACTCGGGCTAGATTACGAGCTATGAGGCGATGAAATGGCGCTGTCAGTCGTGCCACCGGACCCCGATTCAGTCGTTTCAGAAAACGTTCAGTGAACGTCGTGGCCGACCGATTCAGAGGCTGGCCATCGCGTGGCGTGCATGCCCAGCTAGCACCTCCACGTCGCGCGCCCGTGCTCCCAGATGAAAGCCAAGCCAGTGCCTCGCTCACTCCCTCTTCCTCTCACCATTTCCCCCTCTGTCGTTCTCTTCCACGCGAGCGCGGTGACCAGGACGCCGTGGCAGCCGCCGAGCCAAACCCACTCAACCGAGCGCCTTTGTCCGATTCCTCCGAGCCACAGCACCACCGTGAGCTCCTCCATGTCCGCGACCACACCGTCATCTCGTTTTCGCCTCAGGTAGAGCTCACCGTGAGCGCGGCTCCACCGGGTAGCCATGACCGCCGCCGGCCGAGCTCGCACGTGGCCGTGCTGCTCGAGCCTCTTACCGTCCCCTCTCTCCCTTGCGCTAGGTCCTGTGAGTGCTACTGATGCTCGGTGAGTAGGCCACTAGGGCCGCGATGCCGTCACCTCGCCGGAGCCGGCCAAACCGTGGCTATGCGCCGCCATGGCCGTCGCCACCCCCTTTAGCCGCGGTAATAGCTACATTTGAGGGTGTCCCTGGATGCGCATGGGTGAGGCGAACACCGTAGCACCGATGTCCTCGCCGGAGCTGTCACCGGCGATGAGCTACGTCACCGTCCTTTCTTCCTCCCCTGTCTGTCTCCCTGTCGTGCGGGCCCCGCTTATCAGCTGGCGCGCAGAGGCGGGAGCCTGACCTGGGCCGCGCCGCTTCTGGGCCGCGCTGGCATATGCGGGCGTGTGCTTCGTGGGCCGCCATGTGCTTTCGGGCCGGCCCAACAGTAGGGTTAGGTTTTCAAATTTGTTTTGTTTATTCTTTTTCACAGATTTGTGTACAATTTCAAAAATGTGTATCTTCTAGTTGGTAGATCCAAATGATGTGGTTCCAATTTTGTTGAGTTCATGATAATGTCTAGTTTATATTAAAATATAATTTATGCCATGTTCTGTTATGAAAAATGAAGTTGCTAATTATCTCTTTTAATCATGAAGGAAATAGGGGTAATTATATCTTTTTCTATGTAGCTCCAAATGGCATGAAATTTTTATGGTGTACTGCTCATATCATGAATAGCTTGTAGTTCAATTTTCATATATTTTGGACACTATATGTAGGAGATAGAAAATTCTCTTGTTTGCATGGATGGATCTTGTGTGAATTTTTATAATTTTTCTATAAATCCAGTAAAGGTAAAATTTTGTGAGTGCTATTCTTATGCTAGAATAATGCTAGAAAAAATGAGAAATCTGTTGCTTGACACTTTTTAATAGGGTTTCCCAATTATGCTAGAAATAGACATGCCACCTGTTATTTTGGATACAGCAAGTTCTGCTTGCCCAATGGCTTTGAAATTTTTATGGTAGTCTATGTGAAGCATGATATAGCTACTGTAATTTTTGTAGATTTTTCTGAATAGTTTTACTATATATTGCTTTAATCACCTAATTAACTAAATAAATTAGAAAAGGATATTAAATAATTTATTTAGAAGTTGGCACTATACTTTCTGATGTTCCTCTATTATGCACAACAAGTTGGTAAACTTGGTTTGGTACAATTATGCTTTTGCATCATCACTAAATAATTAATTTAGTAAACCTGTCATTTCTGGACAGATTCTAGGTTTACTTAAATTCGATTTGGTTAACGATGTTTTCGTTAAACATTTACTATGATTCATTCATCATGAGCATCATGTCATTCCTTATGCATCCATGATATTTATCTTGTGCATCGGCATGCAATAGGTATACCGGAAGGTGTGACACTGCTGGAATTCGAGGAACCGAGCAGGGAGCAGCAGCAGCCAACACCGGAGATTCAGGAGGTGCAGCCCACGGGAGAGGTGCCAGACGAGGTCGCCGTTGAGTGCCCGGATCACCGTCCGTGCAACTTTGTGAAAGGCAAGCCCCGGAGCATATTAAGCCTCCTAATTTCCGAAATGCAGTTAAAGTATTATTGTTACACATATATATTGTTGCATTAAGTTTAGGTGTTGGATGCAAACACTTGCTGCATTGGTTATCCAATCCTTGTCCAGATATTGATACCCTGAATCCTATTTAGCTCAGGCTCGCGTAGTGCTTAGCCCTGCTTAAACGCGGTAGAAGTCAGGTGATTTCTTGTCACCTGCGAGATATAGGAAGATACATATGGCACGGTTGGCTATATTTGCTATCGTGGAAAAGAACACATCTTAATTTGAAATGAAGACCCAGGCGGAGGCTTGCCGGTTTGCAGTGAGTGACTCATGCGTCGCTTAAGGACTGAATCTTGGAGCCTTTCTGTTCATGTTGAACGATGCCTCTCTCTTAGTTGGTCAGTAATCGAAGACCGACCACGAAGCCGAGTAGCTCACCTCGGCCGGGAGTCGATAAGTATAAAGTGCGCCTCGGAAGGGGAGCCGAGGCGTGAGTCCAAGGGTAGGCGATTTAAAAGTCTGATATCCCTGGTAGAAGGGTAATCCACGAGAGTCGGGCGTGTTGATCGAACTCATGAATTTGGTTCTGAGTTGTCCCAAAGGTGACCACGGCTACCCTTGCAAAGTATGCGGGGTGAGAGTTAGGAATACCCCTCACCTGAGTTGTAATTCGATTCGAGTCGCCGTCTCTCCGAGTTAGTGAGAACTTGACGGGCTTATCTCCAAAGTAGATACACTAAATAACATAATGGTTCGAAATGATGATATGATGATGACAGCCTTATTATACCGCTATGGTTAATATTGATTGCTCCTAATAAGTGAGTGCTCTAGTACAGGTGCTAATCAAGTGGACAGGTAAATGATGATAAGCTTGATGCTAAGTTTAAATTGGTTACTATGCCCATAAGCTCTTTTATGCAACTGTGTCCAGCTAGCCCACCTCATAAGCCTTGCATGACCCTTGGTGTCTTTTATTTCTGGTTTTGACGGATAAGTCTAGCTGAGTACCTTCTCGTACTCAGGGTTTATCTCCCACCTATTGCAGATAACCAGTTCTACTTTGGTTGCTGCAAGTATTGCCTTCTCCCGGCTGGGGATGAAGACTAGACCGTTGGGCGCGGTCTCTCCTAGTTCTCGTACCTGATCATGCTTTTGTAGGACATGACTAAGATCTGGCAATGTATTTGAAACTATGAAGTTATGTACTAAACTATGTTGCTTCCGCAAATTTGAACTTGGTTTGTAATATTTTATTCGCACTCTGATGGATGTAATCCGAATGCCACTTGTGAAATGTTGTAACGAATGATGTGTTGTGTTGAATCACTACGGTCTTGGTTTGTATGTCGAGAGTTGTTTGAAATCCTTCGTGATTTCCGGACTACCGGGATTATGGGAGCTTAAGTACAGGAATTTGATCACTTCGGTGATTGTTTTTTACTTACGTTCTTATAATTTGGTCGGTTCTGTTACATGTTATACTGTATACTCCTAGCCAAACATGTTTTTGTATATAGGATTTTCACTGGAATGTATATATAACGGAAGTGCTAGCGCCTGTACGACCGCGCGCTACACCCCGTTTCACGCTCCACACGGGGCCCGTGCCGCCCGAGCGACAAGAGGGGAAGGGCGCGGCGCCTCCGATTCGGAAGGACCTGGCAGCGGCATTGTATGGATGCCATGCCGGCGCCAAGAGAGACGATGCAGCAGAAGGT